CGGGCAGTGGCAAGACGGTCAGGAAGGCGGGTGGCTAGCAAGTAGAGAGTAGAGGTGAGGGGCGGCTGGTGGGCTAGAAGGAGTGTGGGGTTGCAGGCAGCACGCCATGTCTCGTCTATGGTGCGTAGGTGAGCGGCTAGGTCGGCGACAATGGGGAACGACGCAAGGTCAGGAAAGAGCATGGGGAGGATCAGAAGACCGACCGAGGCAGCAGGCGGGATGGAATAGCGCTGGACAACAGCATCTAGGAAAGCCTGAGCAGTAGTGATAGACCTGAAGTGAGGTCGCTCGGACAGGGGGGGGGCATTGCTAATAGCAAGCTGTGCAACAGCGTTACGGGACAGCCAGACAGAGCGAGCAAGGGCAGCGGCTGCAGCGGACTCACGCTCAGCAGACGAGGGGTCAGGAGACAGTGCAGCGGGGGGGTCAGGGCAGGGGAGGGTACCATCAAGATGGACAGACAGCGAGTGGCCATCCTGCCGCTGGCCAGTGAGATGGCGACGGAGGTCAGCAAACCACGCATCAAACTCAATCGGCTGGCCCTCAGCGTCAAAGCAAAGCACCGCCGCCATGAGTGACAATAGAGGGCAGTGTAGAGTAGGACAGTGCGGTGCAGTGCTGTGCAGTGCGGTGCAGTGCTGTGCAGTGCGGTACAGTGCGGTGTAGTGCGGTACAGTGCGGTACAGTGCGGTGCAATGCGGTGCAGTGCGGTACAAAGCAGTGCAGTGCGGTGCAAAGCGATGCAGTACAGTACCGGGGGGGGGTTTGGAGGGCGGTGCTGATCGGGAAGAACGGGCCGAACCCAAGGCAGCGGCTGGCCCCCGACGGCGCGAATGCAGGGGCCGCCCGGCGGGCGGCAAGTAGACACGGCCGCGACGGCGGCCAGGGACAGCCGCAACGGCGGCTAGGGACAGCCGCGACGGCGGCCAGGGACAGCCGCGACGACAGCCAGGGGCAGCCGCGACGGCGGTCAGGGACAGCCACGACTGCGGCTAGGGACAGCTGCGACGGCGGCGAGTGGCGGCCGCGACGGCAGGAGCGACCGTGAGGCGGCTGGAGACGGCAGCGGCGGTGGCTAGGGGCGGCCACGACGGCGAGGGGCGGCCGGGACGACTAGGGGCGGCCGAGGGACGGCGGGAAGCGGCCGCGACGGCTAGGGGCGGGCTCAAACGGCCAGGGGGGCTGCGAGGAGCGGGCGCGAAATGGCCAGGGCGCCGGCTAGGAGGGGCTAGGGACGGGCGCAAACGGCCAGGGGGGCGGCTAGGGACGGGCGCGAACGGCCAGGGGGCCGGCTAGGGGCGAGCGCGACGGCCAGGGGGGGGGGCGGCTAGGAGCGATCGCGACGGCCAGGGGGCCGGCTAAGGGCGAGCGCGACAGCCAGGGGGCCAGCTAGGGTCGGGCGCGAACGATCAGGGGTCGGCTAGGGATGGGCGCGACAGTTAGGGGGCCGGCTAGGAGCGATCGCGACGGTCAGGGGGCCGGCTAGGAGCGGGCGCGACGGCCAGGGAGCCAGCTAGAGACGGGCGCGACGGTCAGGGGGCCGGCTAGGAGCGATCGCGACGGTCAGGGGGCCGGCTAGGAGCGGGTGCGACGGCCAGGGAGCCAGCTAGAGACGGGCGCGACGGTCAGGGGGCTGGCTAGGAGTGATCGCGACGGTGAGGGGGCCGGCTAGGAGCGGGCGCGACGGCCAGGGAGCCAGCTAGAGACGGGCGCCGCGGCCAGGGGGCCGGTTAGGGACGAGCGCGACGGCCAGGGGCCGGCTAGGGACAGGCTCGAACGACCAGGGGGCCGGCTAGGGACGCGCGCGAACGGCTAGGGGACCGGCTAGGGACGTGCGCGAACGGCCAGGGGGCCGGCTAGGGACGGGCACGAACGACCAGGGGGGCGGCAAGGGACGAGCACGACGGCCAGGGGGCCGGCTAGGAACGTAGGGGCGGAAGCGAGAGCGGGCTAGGGGGAGATCTAACCTACTACGATATCATATCAGAATGAATAAGTGAACTAGAATGTGTGAATACAAAGGTATATAGACTAGGGTGTTGTACCCTCTAAGGCACAATCCAGTATAGTCTACAGTAACTACCTAAGTTAGATTTGACAGTTATAGGCTAGATAGGTGTATGTTTTTGGTACAACTCCAACCCTGTATCTCCGTTGTTCACCCTTGTTTTTAGTTTTTCTCATATTCTAACAAAGTGCACACTGAAAAAGTAGGGGTGAAATGTTGCTAGAGTCTACAAAATCAGACTAACATGCGCCGAGCACCCTGAAAATCAGAGTAGACAGGGTGAATCACCCTGTTTACCTGTACCTTGGCCGCATTCCCTTCCCATTTCAAAGGACCCTTTGACCTTTTTAGCGCGTCGCAGATGTCTTGGGGATTGGCGTTTTATGAAATTCTAAGGAAAACTGTGTCTTTCACCTCCAAAACATTATTCCTGAATTCGTGCCATGATATTCCAGTTTTTTTTTTTTTTTTTTTTGTAGAAGGTTTATGTCACGTGTGTTTGTTTGTTTGCTTGTGGTGCATCCCTTTCATATTCGTAGCCATCACGCGACTGGAGAAGTTAGCTCGTAGCAACAAGAACACTCCATCCTCGCAAATCCAAGCAATCTACGCCCGCAATTATGCAGCAGGCAAGTCAGCCAGTCAGCGAGCGGCTCATCCAGCACTCCTGACGCCTTCCCCCCCGAAACGGTCTCACATCCAGGCTAATTTTCCGGGGTTTTTAGGTTACCGATAACCCTTACTAGCGTTTTACTCTTTGGGATCACGTTTAGCCCCTATTACGGAAGGGTTTCTCGCCGATCAAACCCCCCAGGGACAGTTTTTTGTTCTTCGAGGTTAGTTCTCTCCACAGCGAACCACGTGTAACAATCTCCTTAATCTTGGGCAGAGGGCAGAAACAATAAAACCCTTATGGGCCTGGCATGGCATTCTGGATGGCATCAACCCTAAACTCGCAAAAGGGCCACGAATTTAGGGTTTATGCCAACCAGAATGGCATACTCGCCCCTATGGGTTTTAGTTTTTTTCTTGCCAGCTAGCCTGCCCGAATGTTGTCAGCAATTTTCAGTAGCGCTACAGATCCCACAATATCGCAGGAAAACAGAGTTCAGTAGCCCCAAAGTGACGGAGCAAGGAGATTGTGACGCGTGGTTTTATGTGGTGCGAACTAACCTCAAAGAACAAAAAACTGGCCCAGGAGGGTTGGAACAATGAAAAACCCTTCCGTGAAAGGGCTAAATGTTACTCAAAAGAGTAAAACTCCAGTAAGGGTTACCGCTAACCTAAAAACCCAATTTTCCGTTTTTCAGGGCCAAGCGGTCTCATGATTTGTGTCAGTAAAGACCCTGGAAAATCAGCATTCCCTGGGAAATGTCTTTTTTTCAGGACTACTTTGAACTTCAATATGATATTCAGAGTGTTTTTTGGGGCCCCCTACATATAAGTGGAAACTGTGGGTAGTTCGAGTACAAGCAGGAAGGACAAAGATGGAAGGAAAGATGGAAGAATACAGAACACGCACTTGCTCCTGCTGCTGTCCCTCACCATCACACCAGGTTCGACACTTTGCTTGTCCACCGCGACAGAAATGCATACAGCTTAGTTGGAGAGAGCGTGCAGCCTGGCTAATGTGGTATTAAGGAGTTGTGATTAGTCTGACCGCCCTGCTCTTATGCGACTGTGAAAAATCCACGGGCCGAACCTTTAGATTGCGTGGAAAATTTGTCTAGGGTAAGAATGTGGGGGGGAGGGGGGTGTGAGCGGGGGGGGATTGCAATACCAGATGGATGTCCAGGACAAATATTTCGCGCAATCCAGATTTCTCATGGAGTTCCTAGAAAATGTCCAGAATCAATCAGGAGGCTTGGGATGCCAAAACCCTCAAAAATCAGAATTTCATCGGGAAAGACCCGGAATGTACCTAACATTCCGGATGTTTACCCTTGAACCGAGAGCTCACACCCTGCTGGCTGTGATGCGATGACATCTAGAGGGAGGCTGTGACAATCTCTAGGCCGCAACGCTGCGATAATTTCTAGGCCATAAAGCAGACGCGTCCTCCAACCCGTGATTCCATCCCATCCGCAGAGACCTTCGCTTTGGTCGGTCGGTAAATCCAAGGCGGGTTATGGTCCAACTTGAGTCGGTGTTGTCACAGCTTGTGGCTCTTCCATTTGTCTTCTGAAGACTCGTACTCTGGACATTGAATCGATATGCCGTTTTTCCAGTGCTGCTGAATCTGGAAAGGCCGTTTTTTCCCTCGTTAAAACCACAGGCTAAAATAGCAAAGGGGGGGCTTCAAGAGCGCCGTTCTTGAAGATGGCTCTTTTGAAAAAAAAGCGGGTTCCCAGCACTATTTTGCGAGATGCGTTTTTGGGCAGCTGAACAATGATAGAAACGTAGTGGCGCCGATTTGACGCGTGTGCGACGAGGCGGGAAACGCGCGCGTGATCGGATAGGGCAACCCGCGGGAAATGTGATCGCAAAAAGTTTCCCGCGGGAAACCCGCAAAAAGTTTCACCAAGACGAGGCGGGAAACGCGCGCTCATTTGACTTTTTGCCAACTTGGTGAAACGAAAAAAAAACTACTGTACCTCGGAAATATTCGGCGTACGTGTTAAGGCTTCACGTTACGAAGCTCCCTCGACCGCGACTCGCGACTAGGGTGGAGGTGAGCCGTGCAACTTGTGTGCCGAACAGCCACATGGGTTGTGCGAAATGCGACCCAGGTAAACCTCGGGTTAAAAACCTATTGCACACCCATGGAGCTCTTGAAAAAACTGAGCCGTGTGAGCGGTCAGTCGCAACTTGATCCGCCGAGCAACTGGCGCCAAATCAATCGTCGCGCACCAATAACGTAGCAAAGGTACTTCGCATTACAAACAATTTCGGGTCCCATACCATTTCAGAAATAGAAAACGCACCAAAGGGTCTGCCCCAAAACGAAACATTTTTTCAAGAGCTCCGCTGGTGTGCTATTCTAGCCTGTGGTTTTAATTAGATCGAAAGGCCGTTTTCCCCTGGGTCTCCGTGGATTGCGCCAGCTCAGCTTCATATTTATGATATTTTAGTACAACAGGCGAACCATTTCTTATAGGTTCGCAACAACTGTGTACGGCTAGCACGTTTCAGGCTTCCGTTGGTCAGGTGACAGCTATAACGCAACTAGGAGGAGGGAATTTTAAATGAAGCGAAACCCCTCTGACGATCCGGTGTGCGCCGACCAGGTGCCTCTTAAGTCCGGCTCCAGTCCTCGGAGCTTCTCCTCCAGTCACCATGGATTCGACCGACCTGATGACTCCGAGCCTCCAGCCAGGCGTGGCTGGTTACCACGTCTTGTCGCTAATTTCGCCGCTATCGTAATCTACGGAATCGACGGTGCAAGGACCCTGTTGAAGGGTGTTCCGGATAGTGACGATGTGTCGGCGAAAGCTACCAGCGGCCCTGCTGAATTCGACGGTGCGGATGGGAGCAAGGGGATTCGGGACAAGAAGATCAACGGCTGGATGCTGCTGAGGAGGTTTTTCAGGGTGGCGATTGCGTTCTTCACGGGCGATTGCAAGTGGAAGGCTCGCGGGCTGATGGTGCTGCTGCTCGTGTTCAGCCTTGGAACCACGGGTGAGTTGTGGAGATCAAATGGCGGGTTATGGAGCTCATGTCAGTTGTCGGCCTGATGGTGCTGCTGCTCGTGTTCAGCCTCGGAACCACTGGTGGGTTACGGGATTTCAAATGGTGGTTTACGGATTCCTGGTAAGATTTCCAGTTACGAATTTGTCAATTGTCTGGCTGATGGAGCTGCTGCTCTTGTTCAGCCTCGGGACCACTGGTAAGTTGTGGAGATTGATATGGTGGGTTACGGAACCCTGGTAAAAATGTCAGTTGAAGTATCCTGATCTGGTGTTCGAAATTGATCTGCTGGGACATGGCATTCAGTGTACGGTGGGTTATGGAGCTCATGTCAGTTGTCGGGTCGGGCTGATGGTTCTGCTGATCGTTCAGCCTTGACACCACTGGTGGGGCTTTAAGTGAAATGGTGGATCACGGAATGGGAAAATGATAGGGTATGGAATGGAATGAAGGCTCATTGCCAGAGTGGCCCTACAAAAGAGGGATAGGGGGTTTAACGTGATCATGCCATACACAGAGAGGTCTTTTAAACATTGCTGGCCTTCCTTTTGTTATTTACCCTCCTACTACCATTCTAAACAGCCCTCATTCAAAAGGATGTACATGACCATCTCGTACACGCAGAGGGATTTCACCATTCCTTCCTTCCCCTCCTCTCCCCCACACTCCACCTTGGGCCCACCAGGGATGTACGTGATAATATCGTACACGCAGAGGGACTTTGACACAGTTTTCCTTCCCCGCCTCTCTCCTTCCCTCTAACTGACCTCCCACCAGAGATGTACCTTATCATCTGACAAAAGAGCAGCGGGGTTTTATCTAACCTCCCCTAACCTCTTCTGCTCTATCCTTCCTTTTCCTCCCCTAACCTCTTCTGCCCTATCCTTCCTTTTCCTCCCCTAACCTCTTCTGCTCTATCCTTCCTTTTCCTCCCCTAACCTCTTCTGCTCAATCCTTCCTTTTCCTCCCCTAACCTCTTCTGCTCAATCCTTCCTTTTCCTCCCCTAACCTCTTCTGCTCAATCCTTCCTTTTCCTCCCCTAACCTCTTGTGCTCAACACACCCCACCAGAGATGTACGTCATCATCTCATACACACAGCGCGACTTCAACACGGCGCTGTCCGCCAAGAAGCAGAGCGACTTCTACCTCGCAGTCTGGAAGTTCATCATCATCATCCTCTTCGCCGCACCTTTCTTCGCCCTCTTCGACTACGTGCAAGTGAGCCCGTGTCCCTTTTGGCTTCGCTCTCCCACCACCTTCTTCCCCCTCCCATTCCCCCAACCCCCACCCCCCGCCCCCTGTTCCTGTGTTACTCCTTTCTTCTGCCACCTAATTCCAATCCCCACTTTGGATGTTCCGTTCATTTGCTAATCCCCCTGCCTCACCCACTCTGCTCCTCTGCTAATCCCCTGCCTCACCCACTCTGCTCCTCTGCTAATCCCCTGCCTCACCCACTCTGCTCCTCTGCTAATCCCCCTGCCTCACACACTCTGCTCCTCTGTTAATCCCCTGCCTCACCCACTCCGCTCTCTGCTGACCCCCTTACTCACCCACTCTGCTCCTCTGCTGCCCCCTTGCCTCATTCTGCAGGAGCTGTTGTCTCTCGAGTGGCGCCTGTGGCTAACCAACCTGCTGCTCTCCAGATACTTTGGTAAGTGCTGCACTAATCATACCCCGGTGTGCCACGTTCTCCGTATAAACACCTTTTGAAATCACAAACGTTGCTCTGTGGGCTCGTCACTTTGTTGCGTCCCACCCACGCCATTCCCTATACCTTTGCTGCCGCTTCTACACTCCTATACCTTTCTTTCCCCCACTGTTGGCTTTCTGCGCTGTCAGCCAACCACGCGTTTCTGGATCTGAAGATGGCGGGGAAACTGGACAACCCCGACCAGCGTATATGCGAGGACGTGAAACACTTCGTCCGAACGTCCCTCAATGTGAGTCTCGTGCACGTGCATGTCAGTTTTATCATCTGTCAACCTGGTTGATCTTGCCAACGTGGAAACTGGACAACGCAACCCCGATCAGCGTATATGCGAGGAAGTGAAACACTTTGTCAGAACTTCCCTCAATGTGGGTCTCGTGCACCTCACTTTTGGATCTATCACCCTGGCTGTTTAGCCAACATGGAAACTGGACAACCCCGATCAGCGTATACGCACGGACGTGAGTCTCGCGCATGTCAGTTCTGTAATCTGTAAACCTGGAAGCTTAAGACATCGTGGAAACTGGACAACCCCGATCAGCGTATATGAGTGGACGTGAAACACTCCGTTAGAACTTCCCTCAATGTGAGTCTCGTGCACAGCAGCAGTTCTTGGAACCTGGTCGTTCCAGACACCCTGGGAACTGGCCAACCATGGTCAGCTTATACACACCCTGGACAAACCTGTACCTCTGCAAACTTGCAACTCAAGCATGTCACACTTCTCCTCCCTGCGCCCCCCCCAACATCCTCCCCTCCCCTCCCCTTCCTCTTGTCTTCGCCGCACCCAGATCATAATCACTCTGATAGAGAAGATGATGAATCTCGTCGCTTTCGCCTACGTGCTCTGGTGAGTTTCTCAGGCACCTGAGTAATGAGACAGACTCACCTCCCGTGCTACCTAATTTCGCCGCACTCAGATCATCATCTCTTTCAATCTAGCGATGAGAGATGGGATAATCTTATCTCATTCTAATCAAGAAGATGCGATGACGAATCTCCTCGCTTTCTCCTCTATGCGCTCTGGTGGTAACTCTTGGGAGACGTCTCAAAAGGAGACTCCCCTCCCCTCGTCGGCTCCCATCACCACGACCAGACCATCATCGTTCTAATGATGAATCTCGTTGCCTTCGCTTATGTTCTCTGCTCTGGTAAGCCCCAAGCTCCTCGCCCCATGCTCCTCGCCCATGCTCCGCGCCCCATGCTCCTCGCCCCATGCTCCTTGCCCCATGCTCCTCGCCCCATGTTCCTTGCCCCATGCTCCTTGCCCCATGCTCCTCACCCCATGCTCCTCGCCCCATGCTCCTCGCCCCATGCTCCTCGCCCCATGCTCCTTGCCCCATGCTCCTCGCCCCATGCTCCTTGCCCCATGCTCCTTGCCCCATGCTCCTCGCCCCATGCTCCTCGCCCCATGCTCCTTGCCCCATGCTCCTCGCCCCATGCTCCTTGCCCCATGCTCCTTTCCCCATGCTCCTCGCCCCATGCTCCTTGCCCCATGCTCCTTTCCCCATGCTCCTCGCCCCATGCTCCTTGCCCCATGCTCCTCGCCCCATGCTCCTCGCTCCATGCTCCTCGCCCCATGCTCCTCGCCCCATGCTCCTCGCCCCATGCTCCTTGCCCCATGCTCCTTGCCCATGCTCCTTGCCCCATGCTCCTTGCCCCATGCTCCTTGCCCCATGCTCCTTCCCCCATGCTCCTCGCCCCATGCTCCTCGCCCCATGCTTCTTGCCCCATGCTCCTCGCCCCATGCTCCTTGCCCCATGCTCCTTGCCCCATGCTCCTCGCCCCATGCTCCACGGCCCACATTCCATGCACCGTGCTCGAGGAATCACACTCCATGGCCCCGTGTGGTTCCTGCCTTGTAGCCGATGCGGTGTCAGGCACGTTTGTGGTGGTCCGCATGTTTGACATGCATATGCTCACACATTCATTATGGTACCCCAGTGTGCTCACTCTCTCTCCTCCCTCCACCACACCCCCCCCCTCCCCCACCCCTCCCCTTCCTCCTCTCCCCCCTTCCTCCCTTTTCCTCTCCCAATTCCCCCAGAAACATCTCCCCCCCTCTCGTGTGGTTCCTGGTAGCCTATGCGGTGCCAGGCACGTTCGTGGTGGTCAGCGTGTCTGGCATGCTTGTGCTAACACATTCAGTATGGTACCCCAGTGCGCTCTTCTCCCCCTCTCCACAACCCACTCTCTCCCCTCCCCCGCTCGCCCTCCCTCCCTCTCCTCTCCTCCCCCGCCTTCCTCCCCTTTCCTCGCTCAACCCACCACCCCCAGGGACATCTCTCCTCCGCTAGTCTGGTTTCTGGTGGCCTACGCGGTGTCAGGCACCTTCGTGGTGGTCAGCGTGTTTGGCAAGCGACTCACCTGGCTGCAGTTTCAGGTGCGGTGGGGTTTTAGATAGGAATGCTCTGGGGGACACACAAACTGACCACCACAAACGTGCCTGGAACTGCAGCCAGGTGAGTCGCATTGCCTACAGCAGTGGGGGTGCGGGATATGAAAGCTCTGGAAGAGACACATGCACACTGCTGTGAGTTGGCTTTTGAGAATTCTCAATAACCGACTTACCTCACCTGGCCACAGTTCCAGGTGCGGTGGGGCGTTAGATAGGAATGCTCTGGGGGAGACACATGCACACTGCTGAACGTGGGGTTTCCGTTACAGGCTCCGTTTTGTTTTATCAGGATATGGCGAGACCTTCAGTAGGGAAAGTATGGCCATGGCGTGACACCTTCCACTTGCAAAGGATGGTGTTTCACCATGCCTGTCCCTTCCCCTTCCCACCACTTGCAAAGGATGGTGTTTCACCATGCCTGTCCCTTCCCCTTCCCACCACTTGCAAAGGATGGTGTTTCACCATGCCTGTCCCTTCCCCTTCCCACCACTTGCAAAGGATGGTGTTTCACCATGCCTGTCCCTTCCCCTTCCCACCACTTGCAAAGGATGGTGTTTCACCATGCCTGTCCCTTCCCCTTCCCACCACTTGCAAAGGATGGTGTTTCACCATGCCTGTCCCTTCCCCTTCCCACCACTTGCAAAGGATGGTGTTTCACCATGCCTGTCCCTTCCCCTTCCCACCACTTGCAAAGGATGGTGTTTCACCATGCCTGTCCCTTCCCCTTCCCACCACTTGCAAAGGATGGTGTTTCACCATGCCTGTCCCTTCCCCTTCCCACCACTTGCAAAGGATGGTGTTTCACCATGCCTGTCCCTTCCCCTTCCCACCACTTGCAAAGGATGGTGTTTCACCATGCCTGTCCCTTCCCCTTCCCACCACTTGCAAAGGATGGTGTTTCACCATGCCTGTCCCTTCCCCTTCCCACCACTTGCAAAGGATGGTGTTTCACCATGCCTGTCCCTTCCCCTTCCCACCACTTGCAAAGGATGGTGTTTCACCATGCCTGTCCCTTCCCCTTCCCACCACTTGCAAAGGATGGTGTTTCACCATGCCTGTCCCTTTCTCATCTTCCCTTCCCCTCAAAGCGAGCTTCACCATGCTTTCCATGCATGGTTGTATTTTGAGTCGACTCAAAAGAGAGCTTCACCATGCTTTCCATGAAGGGTCTCATGACTTCTGAATAACCAGCTGCATCCCGTTTTGTTTGTTCCAATCGTTTTGCCCTCTCCTCCCCTGCCGTTCTATCTGCCTCTCCCATCTTCCCGTCCAGGGCTTTCAAAGGGAGGCCGACCTGCGTTACTCCCTGGTGCGGGTGAAGGACAACGTCGAGTCAATCGCCTTCTACAGGGGGGAGGTCAAGGAGGAGGCGTCAGCAAAGGTACAGACGAAGAGGTAGAGGGATGCTGTCCATGCTATTGTCTAGTAGGGGTTTCGGGTCTCAAAGGGAGGCCTGCCGTTTGTGCTCCCTGGTGCGGGTGAAGGTCAACGTCGAGTCAATCGCCTTCTACAGGGGTGAGTCAAAGAGGAGGCGTCAGCAAAGGTAAAGACTTGTGGGGGATGCTGCCCACCCTATGCTCAAGTGGGAATATAGGGATGCTGCCCACCCTGTGCTCAACTGCGGTTTCCAACATGAGAGGCAGTGGATTCTAGGAGAGGCAGATGGTTGAAACTCCTATTCTACCCCTCTTGGACGAGTCATTCCTAGCATCACATGCCCTAGTCGCTCGCACCACCTTCCCTCCCCCATCCCTCCACTCCACTCTCGTGTTTGTCCCACCATGTGGCTTTCAGCACGTGGAAGCGTCTTCTGGAGCACGTCAACTGCAGTTCCACCTCCCCTCCACCAACCTCTACCACTTCCATCTGCACCTCCCCATCTCATCCCTCCACATGCCATCCCTCTGTGTCCCGTGTTCCTCCCAGCGCTTTCTCCACAGAGTCGCACCCAACATCCGCTACTGCCTCGTGGCGCACTTCACTGGTCCGTCCTTCTCCACCAACCTATTCCCTTAACCTCCCTCTTCCCCGTCCTTCTGTTCCCCATACCCCTCTCAGTCCTTCCTGCACCAAGTGGCTCTCAACGTGCGCAACCGCCTGGTGCTGGAGCTCCACCTCTCCTTCTTCACCAACCTCTACGACTTCTCCTCCCCTTCCCTCCCCTTCCCTCCCCTTCCCTCCCCTTCCCTCCCCATCCCTCTCCATCCCTCTGCGGCCCGTATCCTTCCACCGCCAGTCCTTCCTGCACCGAGTGGCTCTCAACGTGCGAAACCGTCTAGTGGTGCAGTTCCACCTCTCCTTCTTCACCAACCTCTATGACTTCGCCACCATCTTTGTTCCGGCTGTCATCGTGGCGCCAAGATACTTCTCCGGTGCTGTGAGTACTGCCCTTCCCTACGGGTTTATCGTCAGGGTTTAGGGGTTTCATCTATCATTCTATTCACCTCATGTAGGCATCCCCACCATCTTTGATCCGGCTGTGATCGTTGCGCTGCGCCGCGCCGCGATACTTCTCTGGTGCTGTGAGAGCAGCCTTTCCCCTGTGGCCCTCTGGTTTCTGGTTTAAGGTCAGGGTCTAGGGCTTACACCCATGTATCATTCTACTCGCCTCATGTAGACTTCGCCACCAGCTTCGTCCTGGCTGTCATCGTGGTGCCGCGATACTGGCGGAGTCTATTTTTAGGGCTTGTTTTTTAGGCGCCTCAAAAATAGACTCCACTCCGCAGGTGTGGCAAGTTTTGGTGTTTGCCCATGTATGTAGGGCTGTTAGAATATCCTATCCTACTTATTAGCCCGCATAGATATAGTTGTCTTGAGTAGAATAAAGCACCCCACTACAATCAGGGTGTTATAACCCTAATCGGGATTGGGTTCCCAGCTTGGTTGGGTTCCCAAATTGGTTGGGTTCACAATTATTTGGGACCCCCAATAATCCCCACCAGGATTATTGGACCACCAATAGTTCTGGCTAAGATTATTGGACCCTCCAACAATCTCAACCAGAATTATTGGTGGGGGCCAATAGTCTTGGCCAACTCCCAACCAACCCCCCCCTCCTATCCTTCAACTATGTTAGCTCCCTCAGTTTCTAATCTGATCACCGTTCTACTTTCTCACAGGGCTGTGAGGGCAGCAGCTCCTTCCCTTCTCTTCTCTCCTACTTGGCTCTTGTTTTTACCCACCTGTCACCGTTTTTGCTCACCTTAGCCTAGCGGCTTTGTCTCTCCTCTTGCCTCCATGCCGGCGTCACATCTTCTTCCACGTGGAATGCGGGGTGATCTCCCAGGCCAGCTATGCTATCAGGACCGTCTACTTCCCCTTCTCCCCTCCCTTCCAACCACCCCTTCCTCCTCCCCGCCCTTCTTCCTCCTTCCTGCCCTTCTCCCTCCTCCCACAACACCCTTCTCAGTGCAATCCTAAACCCGGAGTTCGGGTTGATCTCCCCGGCCAGCTATCAATTCAGCACCATCCACTCCTCTTTTCGCCACAAGGCCCTCCCTCCCACTCCCCACCTCTCTTCTCCCCCCCCACCTCCCTCCGGTTCCACATCCCAGGTGGAGTTCGGGGTGATCTCGCAGGCCAGCTACGCCTTCAGCACCATCTACCGCGCGCTCACAGTCATAGTGCTCAACTTCAACTCCTTCAGGTGCGTTTAACGGGCCCCTCTCGCTCTTTCTGCCCCTCCTCTCCCCCCCACTCCCCCCCTTGTTCGTTCACTCTCTCTCTCTTCCTACCCACTAAACCCCTGCTGTTTTGCAGGTTGAGTTTGGGGTGATATCGCAGGCCTGCCGAACTCAGACTGCAGACAGCAGGCCAGCTATGCCTTTCACACCATCTACAAAGCTCTCACTGTCGTTGTCATGCACTTCCACGCATTCAGGTGTCTCTTCAGGTGTCCCTCTAGATTTCTTTTCAGGTACCTGTTGAGGTATATTCTCAGGTAGCCGTTGAGGTATCTAGTCAGGTATTTTCCGTTGGATGACTCGGTAGTCATCTCTCCATTGTTGTTCTGCACTTTTACTCGTTCAGGTTCTTCTTCAGGTGTATTCCTCAGGTGACACTCTGAGATGATTGTGAGGTGGCTTATTCTCCCCTCGACTTCCTCTGCTGCCATTAACCTCCGCCTGTCATTCTCCCCTGCCCGTCCCCCACACGCAGTAAGCTGGCAGCACAGACAGAGCGGCTGGCTCTCCTCCCTCTCTCCATGTCTTCGCCTCCCTCCTTGTCTCCTCCTACCCTTCTTCCCTGCTCTATTCCACCCCTGCCAAACGCAGTGAGCTCGCAGCAGAAACAGGTTGTCTGTAGAGCCTCCTCTCCTCCCTCTCCATCGGCGGTTCACTCCCACCTTTCTCCTCCTGGCCCTTTTTCCTGTCCTTTTTCTCCGGTCCTTTCGCCTGTCGTTATTCGCACGCAGTGAGCTCGCCGCAGAGACAGAGCGTCTGGAGAGCCTCCTCTCCTCCCTTTCCGAGTTTGCAGCAGACGACTCAAGCAAGCTCTTCTCCCACTCCTCCTCCTCCCATCCTCCCCCCCACCCCCCTCACTCTCCCTCTCACCCTTCTCACTCCAATTCAACCACCAAAGACTCCTCTCCATCGTTTTCATCCACCTCCACCCATGCTATGCACCTTGGTCAATCCGTTTCCCTCCGCCCCTCTCACACCACCTCCCCTGCCTCCTCCTCTCTCGCCCCAACCCTCTCGGGACAAATGCTCACTTCTCAACACACTCCCGATGCGAAAGGTTCAGCTTCAGGCGTTTCTTCAGGTGGTTCTCCAGGTGCTAATGGGGAGGGGGCTCCTCTGTTGGAAATGACTGCTATGGGTGGGAGCACTGGTGCTGCTGCTGCTGCTGTTCCTGGGGGTGGTGAATCGAGGCAGCTCAGCGGGGACTCTGCTGTTATAGAATGCACCACTGCGACAGGTACGCCTTTTCATTCATCTCTAGTGTTAGACTGCTAGTGCTCGCTAGTGGCTACTGCTAGTGCTCGCTAGTGGCTACTGCTAGTGCTCGCTAGTGGCTACTGCTAGTGCTCGCTAGTGGCTACTGCTAGTGCTCGCTAGTGGCTACTGCTAGTGCTGGCTAGTGGCTACTGCTAGTGCTAGCTAGTGGCTACTGCTAGTGCTAGCTAGTGGCTACTGGTAGTGCTAGCTAGTGGCTACTGCTAGTGCTAGCTAGTGGCTACTGCTAGTGCTCGCTAGTGGCTACTGCTAGTGCTCGCTAGTGGCTACTGCTAGTGCTGGCTAGTGGCTACTGCTAGTGCTAGCTAGTGGCTACTGCTAGTGCTAGCTAGTGGCTACTGCTAGTGCTAGCTAGTGGCTACTGCTAGTGCTAGCTAGTGGCTACTGCTTGTGCTAGCTAGTGGCTACTGCTTGTGCTAGCTAGTGGCTACTGCTAGTGCTGGCTAGTGGCTACTGCTAGTGCTGGTTAGTGGCTACTGCTAGTGCTGGCTAGTGGCTACTGCTAGTGCTAGCTAGTGGCTACTGCTAATGCTAGCTAGTGGCTACTGCTAGTGCTAGCTAGTGGCTACTGCTAGTGCTAGCTAGTGGCTACTGCTTGTGCTAGCTAGTGGCTACTGCTTGTGCTAGCTAGTGGCTACTGCTAGCGCTAGCTAGTGGCTACTGCTAGCGCTAGCTAGTGGCTACTGCTAGCGCTAGCTAGTGGCTACTGCTAGCGCTAGCTAGTGGCTACTGCTAGTTCTAGCTAGTGGCTACTGCTAGTGCTAGCTAGTGGCTACTGCTAGTGCTCGCTAGTGGCTACTGCTAGTGCTCGCTAGTGGCTACTGCTAGTGCTGGCTAGTGGCTACTGCTAGTGCTAGCTAGTGGCTACTGCTAGTGCTAGCTAGTGGCTACTGCTAGCGCTAGCTAGTGGCTACTGCTAGCGCTAGCTAGTGGCTACTGCTAGCGCGAGCTAGTGGCTACTGCTAGCGCTAGCTAGTGGCTACTGCTAGCGCTAGCTAGTGGCTACTGCTAGCGCTAGCTAGTGGCTACTGCTAGCGCTAGCTAGTGGCTACTGCTAGCGCTAGCTAGTGGCTACTGCTAGCGCTAGCTAGTGGCTACTGCTAGCGCTAGCTAGTGGCTACTGCTAGCGCTAGCTAGTGGCTACTGCTAGCGCTAGCTAGTGGCTACTGCTAGCGCTAGCTAGTGGCTACTGCTAGCGCTAGCTAGTGGCTACTGCTAGCGCTAGCTAGTGGCTACTGCTAGTGCTAGCTAGTGGCTACTGTTAGCGCTAGCTAGTGGCTACTGCTAGCGCTAGCTAGTGGCTACTGCTAGCGCTAGCTAGTGGCTACTGCTAGCGCTAGCTAGTGGCTACTGCTAGCGCTAGCTAGTGGCTACTGCTAGCGCTAGCTAGTGGCTACTGCTAGTGCTAGCTAGTGGCTACTGCTAGTGCTAGCTAGTGGCTACTGCTAGTGCTAGCTAGTGGCTACTGCTAGCGCTAGCTAGTGGCTACTGCTTGTGCTAGCTAGTGGCTACTGCTTGTGCTAGCTAGTGGCTACTGCTAGTGCTGGCTAGTGGCTACTGCTAGGGCTAGCTAGTGGCTACTGCTAGTGCTAGCTAGTGGCTACTGCTAGTGCTCGCTAGTGGCTACTGCTAGTGCTCGCTAGTGGCTACTGCTAGTGCTGGCTAGTGGCTACTGCTAGTGCTGGCTAGTGGCTACTGCTAGTGCTGGCTAGTGGCTACTGCTAGTGCTAGCTAGTGGCTACTGCTAGTGCTAGCTAGTGGCTACTGCTAGTGCTAGCTAGTGGCTACTGCTAGTGCTAGCTAGTGGCTACTGCTTGTGCTAGCTAGTGGCTACTGCTTGTGCTAGCTAGTGGCTACTGCTTGTGCTAGCTAGTGGCTACTGCTAGCGCTAGCTAGTGGCTACTGCTAGCGCTAGCTAGTGGCTACTGCTAGCGCTAGCTAGTGGCTACTGCTAGCGCTAGCTAGTGGCTACTGCTAGCGCTAGCTAGTGGCTACTGCTAGCGCTAGCTAGTGGCTACTGCTAGCGCTAGCTAGTGGCTACTGCTAGTGCTAGCTAGTGGCTACTGCTAGTGCTAGCTAGTGGCTACTGCTTGTGCTAGCTAGTGGCTACTGCTTGTGCTAGCTAGTGGCTACTGCTAGCGCTAGCTAGTGGCTACTGCTAGCGCTAGCTAGTGGCTACTGCTAGCGCTAGCTAGTGGCTACTGCTAGCGCTAGCTAGTGGCTACTGCTAGCGCTAGCTAGTGGCTACTGCTAGCGCTAGCTAGTGGCTACTGCTAGCGCTAGCTAGTGGCTACTGCTAGCGCTAGCTAGTGGCTACTGCTAGCGCTAGCTAGTGGCTACTGCTAGCGCTAGCTAGTGGCTACTGCTAGCGCTAGCTAGTGGCTACTGCTAGCGCTAGCTAGTGGCTACTGCTAGCGCTAGCTAGTGGCTACTGCTAGCGCTAGCTAGTGGCTACTGCTAGTGCTAGCTAGTGGCTACTGCTAGTGCTAGCTAGTGGCTACTGCTAGTGCTAGCTAGTGGCTACTGCTAGTGCTAGCTGGTGGCTACTGCTAGTGCTAGCTGGTGGCTACTGCTAGTGCTAGCTGGTGGCTACCGCTAGCGCTAGCTAGTGGCTACTGTTAGTGCTAGCTAGTGGCTACAGCTAGCGCTAGCTAGTGGCTACTGCTAGTGCTAGCTAGAGGCTACTGCTAGTGCTAGCTAGAGGCTACTGCTAGTGCTAGCTAGTGGCTGCTGCTAGTGCTAGCTAGTGGCTACTGCTAGTGCTAGCTAGTGGCTACTGCTAGTGCTAGCTAGTGGCTACTGCTAGTGCTAGCTAGTGGCTGGTGCTGGGCATCACTGAAATGGCGGTTCGATGCACAGCCGGATTCGTGTAGCTGCCTTCGTTTCTCCTTGTGATGGTTTGAGGGTTTTCTCAAATGGGTGGTCAGTTCTGGTTGAGCAAGGGAAACTTTTACCTTTCCTCGTTGGTAGTAAGTTATCCCTCCCCCTACTTCCTCAGTCTTCCATCATGTCGCATTCAGCGCATAAATGTTATATTTCACCCTTACTAGTAGAACTTAGGAGTCTATTTTTTAGGTGAATTTTGAGTCGACTCAAAAATGTTATATTTCACCCTTACTAGTAGAACTTAGAAGTCTATTTTTTAGGTGCCCCAAAATCAGGTTGCATTCAGTGCATAGATGTTCCATCTCACACTTACTTGAGACGTCATCCGCACTCCCTTACTCCAATGCAATGCAACCCCTTCCCCGCTGATGCCTACAATCTTCCCCCTTCTTTCCTCTTTCTCTTTCTCTTTGCTTCACAACAGGTCGCATTCAGCGCGTAGAGGGTCCCTGCCTCACACTCACCTCAGTCGTCATCCGCACCCCCAACCTCCGCCACACGCTCTACCCCTCCTCCCTCTCCTTCTCCCTCCCCCCGGGGGCCTCTCTCCTCGTCATGGGCCCCTCGGGCTGCGGAAAATCCTCCCTCCTACGAGCCATCGCTGGCCTCTGGAAATTCGGCGAGGGAACCATCGAGTCTCCGCCGCCCGGAAAAACGTTTTTCCTGCCCCAGAAGCCGTATATGCCCTTGGGAACGCTCCGGGACCAGCTCGTTTTCCCTGGCAAGTCACGAGAGGAAGGTGGAGAGGCAGGGGAGGGGAGCGCTGGGGAGAAGGGAGGGGGGAGTGCAAGGGAGGAGTTTACAGACAAGGAGCTTTTGCATGCGCTTCAGGAGGTGTCTCTTCCCGATTTGGCGGAGCGGGTGGGAGGGCTTGGTGTGGAGTGCGACTACTCGGACATGCTCTCGATGGGCGAGCAGCAGCGGGTGGCGTTCGCTCGTTTGCTTCTGCAGCGGCCGTACATGGCGTTTTTGGACGAGGCCACAAGTGCGTTGGATGGGGCGAACGAGGCACGGCTGTATGGGCTGATGCGGGAGAGGGTGAAGTCTTTTATCAGCGTGGGGCACAGGACGAGTCTTATCAAGTTCCACACTTCGGTTTTGGCGTTTGATGAGGATGGAGAGCGGTGGGAAGTGGTGGCTGCTGAGGAGTTTTCCAGAAGGAAAGGACTCTGATATTCTGGATAATTGATCCGTAGAAAGCCTTGAAGAAAAAAGTGGCCAATAGGTGTGAATTACACCATTTGTCAGGTTTGTGTAGACTTTTCTACATGTGCTGCAATTCATTGATTTGGTTGCGTCAGGGAAGCTGGCAAAAGCGCGTACGTCTTCGTGGATGTCTCTCAAAACTGCACACAGGATCTGATGCCTGCCACCCAGTTCGCAAGCCTCAGATTTCGAAAAGCCTCCCTGTCACGCAACCTCAGGGGGTGCGTCAAGTACTGTAGCTGAGTATCTCGACGCCATGCCTGTGACCTCGAGTCACCGCCTCCGAACGCACAGGAATGTTCTCGATCGAAAGAAAACGCACTCTACCGCGCCGGGACGTCGGGTGACGTCATTTTCCTTGCACTTGATACACACGCCCTCAGCAGAAGTCTCCAAAATATCTGCAGATTCCAAAATCCCTCTCTACCTTAGGTGTCAGGGATTAACGGCCTCCGCGGGACGCGGGTGCATACAGTATTTCGGACCAATGCTGGGGGATAAATATTGCAGATCACCGACCAGTATTTAATATAGGGAAGGTTCAGACAGCAGGATACAGCAGAGACAGAGTCACTGCGTCTTTAGCATTCATCCGTCAACGTCGCTATCGCATCTCGTTGCAATCAGCTTAGTGATTACGATTCTGACACCGAAGCGAGCCGAAATGCCCGACTTGTAGTGACGTTCATAATCCCTCGTGAAGTCACAAGTTTTCATAATTCTTTTAACTCGTATTCTGGTTATAAGTCCTGTTTTTTGGGGGGGAGGGGAGCCGCAATGAACCTGCCGACGTTCAACGACGTCGCCGGCGGGAAAGTGTCGCCGCTTTTCGTCGCAGCGGTCGTCGCAACGTCCGTCGTCGCACTGCACTGGGTGGCTATCCGATGGTCCAGCGCATCCGACGGCGCATCCGACGGCGCATCTGGCGGCGCAGGGAGCGGCGCGAGCTGGAGCTACAACTGGTGGTTCGGGAAGCGGGTAGAAAGCGGCGAATGCGGCGTGAGACCCGGAACCGGACGGCCGAAGAAGACCCGGAGAAGAAAGAAGCGTACGGCTGATGAGAAAGACCCAGGAGAAGAGGAAAGCCCCTGGGAGGAAGACGACGATGGGGACGAGGGGGGGGAGGAGGAAGGAGTGGAGGGAGGCGAGGGGGGGGAAGAGGGGGGAGAGAGGGAAGAGGGTGTCGAGCAGGGGGGGTTTTGCGACCGGAGTGGCGGTGGAGGATTGGGGGTGGAGGATAAGCCGCAGAGAGCGTTCCGTAGGGTTCTCGCGGATAACTCGAGAGCTCCGTTTCTGCACTTGAAGCGAAATGAGACGGTTGTTAACGAGGATGAGGAGGAGAGTGAGGATTCAGGTGCGTTTTGTCAACTCCTGGCTGTGTCGCATCCTTAGCTGTTTTTTTATCCGTCCTGTTCCAACCTCCGTTATCTAAATGCCTTTATTCCTGTCTTTTCCTTCCTGTCTTTATTCTCTGGCCACTCATATCCTTTGGAAAAATCTCCCCTTCTCAGGCTGCATCTGTTTCGGCTTTTCCTCTCCTCTCCCCTTCCTCTGCACGCATTTCTGCTTTTGAGTCGACTCAAAAGCTTCCTCTCCTCTGCACGCATTCCTTGCTTCTCAGGAGATCTGCATCCATTTGGCGACGAGATTCGCCAGCTTATCCAAACTCCGCCTCCGGCTAACCACATGCTGCCACCTGGCACCACGCCTCCACCAATGCTGAATGACTCAGGGGTATCCGATCTCCCTTCTCAAGCTCCCTCCTCCTCATCCTCCTCCTTCCAGTGGGTATCCACCAGGCACCAGCTAGCAGCCCTGGCAGCACTGCTAGAGAAGCAGGACGAGTTTGCAGTGGACACCGAGCAGCACAGCCACCGGTCGTATCTGGGGTTCACTGCCTTGATTCAGGTGGGTGTGTTGAAATGGGTCGGGATGAGTTTTAAAAGGGTTTGGAAGGGTTGTGAGGAGACGAATCCGGACGAGTTTGCAGTGCACACAGAGCAGCAGCACAGGCGCCGGTGTTTTTGAGAATTCTCAAAAACTCCCTGCAAAATCAAGGTCCTTGGATTCACAACGCTCATTCAGGTGGGCGTGGGTGGAAATGGGTTCGAATGGATCCAGCTCTTGCCGTCATTCTTCTCTTCATTCTCCCCGCCTTCCCGGCTTTTTCCCTTTTGCCCTCCCAATCGTCCGCCGGAGACGGCTGGAGCTTCCTCATTTATGCCATAGCGCTCCACGGCCACATAGGGTACATGCTTGTTCCCTGTCATTGCGTTGCGACTTTTGGGTCGTCTCAAAGTCTCCCTGTCATTGCGTTGCCCATTTCCGCCCTTGGTTTCGCCCCGACCTCCCCTCTTGCCCCACCAGATTTCCACAAGGGACGGCAAGGACTTCGTCGTTGACGCCATAGCTCTGCACGACCGCATAGGGGACATTCTCCGCCCTGTCTTCGCCAACCCTGCCAACACTAGGCCTTTGTTTATCTCCCTCCACCACACCAGATTTCCACAAGGGACGGCTGGGACTTCGTCGTTGACGCCATTGCCCTGCACGACCGCATAGGGGACGCCCTCCGCCCCGCCTTCGCCAACCCTGCCATCAGCAAGCTGTTCCACGGGGCGGACTCCGACGTGCTGTGGCTGCAGAGGGACTTCCACATCTACACTGTGAACCTCTTTGACACTGCACGGGTGAGTACGCAGTGAGCTAGTGCCAACCCAGCTTTCTCTTCACCAGGGCTCGAATTCCGAATTTCCGATGTGCTGTGGCTGCAGAGGGACTTCCACATGTACACTGTGAACCTCTTTGACACCGCCAGGGTGAGTTGAGACTCGAGAGTACATCACAACAAGGAGGGAACAGCTCAACCCCCTCGCATCTCGAAGCTGTTCCACGGCACTGATTCCGAGTGCTGTGGCTGCAGAGGCACTTCCACATGCACACTGTGAACCTCTCTGGCACGTGCATGGGTGCGTGGCATAGCAAGCAGGTACTGTCCAACCCTGTCGCCACGAAGCTCTTTTATGGAGCGGATCTTGACGTGCTGTGGTGTGGCTGCAGCGGGACGTCCACAAGTACACTGTGAACCTCTTGGCACTGCACGTGCAGCACGGGTGAGCTGAGTACGTAATTGGAAGGTAGCAAGCAGCGCAACCCTGCTGTCACATAGCTGTTCCACGGGGCGGATTCCGGAGGGGCTTCCACATTCACACTGTGAACCTCTCTGGCACTGCACGGGTGCGTGGCATAGCAAGCGGGTAAGAGTCCAACCCCTGCCATCACGAAGCTCTTTAATGGAGATCTTGACATGCTCTGGCTGCTGTGGGACGTCCACATGCACACTGTGAACCTCTCTGGCACTGCACGGGTGAGCACGTGAGGATGAGGGGGTGAGTGCAGAGTGAGGAGGTAGCAGCTCAGTCCTCTCATCACGGAGCTGTTCCGCAGGGCGGATTCCACTTTTGAGGTGCCCAATTTGTTTTTTTAGGCGCCTCAGAAATATACATTTTTTATGCGCCTGAATAATGGGCGTGAGAGTGTAGAGTGAGTAGAGGAGGTAACAGCAGCCCAGTCCTCTCATCACGAGGCTGTTCCACGGGGCGGCTTCCGACATGCTGTGGCAGCAGAGGGACTTCCACGGGTACACTGTTAGCCTGTTTGACACTGTGCGGGTTAGTACATAGTGAGGAGGTAACAACCCAAATTTCTCTTCACCAGGGCACGGATTCCGACGTGCTGTGGCTGGAGATGAACTTCCACATTCACACGTGGTGAGGTGGGCGATTTTTTAGGCGACTCAAAAATCACCTAAGGATATTGTCACACGAGACATTTGAAGATCGGCGTGCTATTATCGCGTGGAAGCTTCCGAAGCGTACAGGAGATTTTTTAGTTTCAGCTAGAAAGTACTAGGTGTAGCTACACTTGTTTCATTTTTTCTAGCGTAGAGGTTCGGACTCCGAGAATACCCTTGATCCGCCTTCTGGCCTTGGGAAGTTCGCGAGCTCCTGCCTATTTAACCTTGCTCACTTGCTCTTTTGTGTATGTCTGATCAAGGTAGCCATTTGCTGAAACTAGTTACCATCAAAATTGCCCTACAGAGCAAGCACTCTTTTTTACAAAATTGCAGTGTTCTACCAGCCTGCTGCCACTTATGGCTGAAACCACCACTAAGTGGTGCTCCCTCATCACAAGGGCACGGATTCCGACGTGCTGTGGCTGCAGATGAACTGCCACATTCACACGTGCTGTGGCTGCAGATGAACTGCCACATTCACACGTGCTGTGGCTGCAGATGAACTGCCACATTCACACGTGCTGTGGCTGCAGATGAACTGCCACATTCACACGTACTGTGGCTGCAGATGAACTGCCACCTTCACACGTGCTGTGGCTGCAGATGAACTGCCACATTCACACGTGCTGTGGCTGCAGATGAACTGCCACCTTCACACGTGCTGTGGCTGCAGATGAACTGCCACCTTCACACGTGCTGTGGCTGCAGATGAACTGCCACCTTCACACGTGCTGTGGCTGCAGATGAACTGCCACCTTCACACGTGCTGTGGCTGCAGATGAACTGCCACCTTCACACGTGCTGTGGCTGCAGATGAACTGCCACCTTCACACGTGCTGTGGCTGCAGATGAACTGCCACCTTCACACGTGCTGTGGCTGCAGATGAACTGCCACCTTCACACATGGTGAGGTCAACCCTGCCATGGTGCAGATGTGCGGTGGTTGCAGATGTGCCATGGCGCAGATGTGCCATGGCGCAGATGTGCGGTGGCTGCAGATGTGCCATGGCGCAGATGTGCCGTGGCTGCAGATGTGCCATGGCGCAGATCTGTGTTCTTGCTTTGTTTTATCCCTCACGCTTGTGTTCTTGCAAGTGGGTGATAAGGCTTGTCTGATAGGGGCTGCGCCCTGCCTCTCAGACGAGCCCTGTCGCCCCCTTTCGCCCACTGTCGCCCTCTGTAGCCCCCAGTCGCCCTCTGTCGCCCCCTGTCGCCCTCTTTCGCCCCCTGTCGCCCTCTGTCGCCCCCTATCGCCCTCTGTCCCCCCCTGTCGCCCCCTGTCGCCCCCTGTCGCCCTCTGTCGCCCTCTTTCGCCCCCTGTCACCCCCTCACTCAGTGCTCGACTTGTGTGCCTCCCTTTTCTCTCCCTTTTGTCTTCTTGTTTTTTTTTCTTGCAGGCCTGCTCTGTTCTCAACAAGCCCTACCGCTCCCTCGCGTTTCTCCTGGACCACTACTGCCACGTCAGCACTGACAAGCGGCTGCAATTGGCCGACTGGCGCCGTCGCCCGCTGCCGCCCGCGATGCTGCAGTATGCGCGCATGGACTCGCACTACCTGCCGTACATCGCCGACCGGCTTAGGTGGGAGCTAGTACAGGCAGATGAAGGGGTCGGCGGGAATGCCGGGTTAGGTGGGACCACAGTAGAGATGGTAAACGGAAGGGGAGAAACAGCAGCAGGATCAGTAGGAGGAGGAGGGGGAGGGGGAGGAGCAGGGGGAGGAGGAAAGGGAGGGGCAGCAGCAGCAGGGGGGGGGAGCAGGAGGGGGTCTCGGGCGGGGCATGGCAGCGGGTCAAAGTACGAGGAGGCAGTGCGGCGGTCCAACGCCTTGTGCCTGCAGCTGTATGAGAAGCCAGGGGAGAGGGGTACGCCCGCTGAGAAGAGCACGGGAGGGGAGGCCATGGGAGAGAGAAGAGAGCGTGGGGAGGGCTTAGGTGAAGGGCGGGGGGGAGGGGGTGCTGAGGCAGCAGCAGCTGCTGCTCTCTTTCGGCAACTTTTGGGCGTGAGTGGGTATGTAGGAGGTGCTGTGATTACAGGCGGATCTTCAGGTGGAATCTCAGGTGACTCTGCTGGTTCAGGTGCCGGATCTGTTGCACCTGATGCTGCCACGTCAGCAGGTCAAAAGACGGCGGATCGCTCTCAGGTGTTACGGGAGGTGAGGGCGGTGCTCGACGTGGTAACCAGATGGCGCGACACTGTAGCACGGGAAGAAGACGAGAGCCTGCGGTTTCTCCTTGCTGACGTGGCAGTGGTGGCCGTGGCGCTCCTACGGCCCACCACATGTCAGGAGCTGATTGGGTGCGTGGGGAAGGCCATGGCAGCCGCTGCTGCTCTCATACCTCCCTCTATGAGAGAAGAGGGCGGCATTCCTCGGCCTATTCAAGAAGGGCAGAGTGGAGGGCAGAAAGGCAAGGAGAGTGGGGGGGAGAGTGGGGGGGAGAGTCTATCTGTTGAGCTTACAGGAGGTACTTTATCAGTAACAGCGGAGCAAGCCTCTCCACCTCACCCTCCTTCGCCTTCCCCCTCCCCTCCCCTCGTCCGTCGTTCTCCCGAGCTGGTCGCTCTGATCAGCGCCACGTGTCGCAATGCGAGAGGTTGTGAGGGGGTGCGAGTGGCACCTGGAACCACCGAAGGGAACAGTTTGGAAGGGAGTTCAAATGCGACCGGTGGCAGCACTTCAGGTTCTTGGTCTGGGAGCAAGGGGGAGGAAGAACTAGTGGCAGCGGTACAGGCGAGAATCGCAGAGATTGCGTTTCTTCTTGCTCCTGTCATCATTCAGGAGCGAGCACCGGCGGCTGTGCAGGAGGCGTGGCTCATGGAAGCCGTGGCAGTCACGGCTGCTGCTGCTGTGTCAGGGAACCTCTCTGCTGCTGCTGCTTCCTCTTCGGCTCTCCGGCCTCACTTGCTGCATGGGCCACACCATGGTTACCAGCAACAGGGTTACCACATGGCGAGTAACCATGCCCATGGGGCTGCAGAGGATGGGGGAAGCTTGCCCTCTGACTCCTCCCACCAACACCCCCACCACACTCACCCTCACATCCACCACTCCCACCACCACCACCACCACCCGCACCAAAACTTTCGGGTGCCCAAGCGGTGGCAGCGGGCCCGCGACCCGAACCAAGCGCGCCAAAACTTCATAAAGAAATTCTCGTGCCAGGGCCCCGTGTACGAGAACTGCCGCATCTACAGCGGCGATGGGCGCCTGCTGTGTTTCTGCGACCGGAGGAAACTGGAGTGGTACGTGGGGCGCGGGCTGGCTGAGTATGTGACTGTAGAGATGGTGCCCTTGCTGCAGAGTGCGGAGGAGACAGGGCTGGGGGCAGGGGTGGGGTCAGGTGAAGGGTCGGGTGCAGGGTCGGGTGCAGGGTCGGGTGCAGGGTCGGGTGCAGGGTCGGGTGCAGGGTCGGGAGTGGGAACAGGCGAAGGATCAGGGCTGGGTTCGGGGCTTGGTGCAGAGGAGAAGGTGGGGTCTGCAATCGGAGAAAGGGCGGGAGGAACAGCTGCTGCTGCTGCCGTTGCTACAGATGCTGAGGATGCCTCTGATGCACTCAGTGCTGCTGCTGCTGCTGCTGGTGCTTCTGCTACTGATGCTGGTGCGGCTGCTGATGCTTCTGCTGATGCTTCTACTGCTGCTGCTGCTGCTGATGATGATGCCGGTGCTGCTGCTGCCAGTGCCTCAGCAGCAAGAGGCACCTCACCTCCCTCCCTCCCCGCGAACATCGCCACGCCCCTCTCAGTCCGCCTGCTCTTCCAGCCCAAGGGGCGGCCAGAGGACGACGAGAACCTCTTCTACATCCAGTCCAAGTCCAACCGCTGCGTCTCCTGCGGCGAGGCCACTCACTACCTACGCTACCGCCTTGTCCCCTCCTGCTACCGCCACGCCTTCCCCGAGCATCTTAAGTCGCACCGGAGCCATGACATTGTGCTGCTGTGCGTTGATTGCCATGACGTGGCGCATCGTGCGGCTGAGATTCACAAGAGGGAGGTGGCGAGGCTGTTCGGGGTGCCGCTGCTGCTGTCGCCGCTGGACCGTAGGCTCGGGGGAGGGTCGGATGGGAGGGACGGGGAAGTGAATGGGGAGGGAGAGGAGGGTGGGGAGGTGGGGGAGGAGGAGGAGGTGAAGGAGGAGGGAAGAGAGGGCGAAAGTGGCGGTGAGGGTATTGCTGAAGCTGATGCAAAAGAAGGACATCTAGGAGGGAGGAAGGGTGGAAGTAGAGGGTGCAGGGATGCCAGAGTGGAGGCGGCATTTCTGCTGAATGAGGCTGGCAGGTCAGCAGTAGCAGTTTTACGCCACGGGGCGTCGCTGCCCGAGGGCAGGCTCTGCGAGCTGCTGCTGCCCGTCTGGAAAGTTTTGAAGCAGGCAGCGGGCAGCCCGGTGAAGATCGAGGAGCTGGAGATGGTGGCGCAGGCAGGGAGGGGGTGCAAGGTGCGGGCAGGGAAAAGAAAAGGACTGGTTGTTGTGGGGAATAGAGAGGCTTTGGGGAAGGCTCTTGCTGGGCTGGGGAGGGATGGGGGGAAAGATCGAGTGGAAGGGCAGGTGTTAGGTGGTTCAAGAGGGGGTGAAGGAGCGGCTGATGTAGCAAGCGAGGGATTGAGTGTGGGAGTGAGTGAGGGAGTGAATGAGGGAGTGAGTGGGGGAGTGGGCGAGGGATTAGGTGAGGGATTAGGTGATAAATCTGCTGAACCCCAAGAGATGAGTGACCCTGGACAGACAGGAGCAGCGCTCAGCTCATTAGCCCTCGAACCAACTCCAACAATCGAACCAGTCCCTCTAAGAGGCCACTGGGAGCACGGGTCACAGGTGGTGGCGCTACTGCTGGCAGGCGGGGGCGAGGCGGGGATTCGGGAGTTCACCCAGCAGTGGCGCGAGGTGTTTGTAGCGGCGCTACAGCCGCGGTTCCTGCCGCCCGGGTGGGACGTGCAGCACCTGGGAAGACGGCAGTTTGGGGAGTTTTCGGTGTATAACCCGCAGAGGAGGAGGTATGTGCCGGGGGAGGGAGATGAGGGAGGAGGGGAGGAAGGAGAGGAGGGAGGAGGGGAGGGAGGAGGGGAGGGAGATGAGGGAGTGGCAAGGGGAGAAGCAAGTGCGGAGGAGGATGTGGTAAACGATGCGACTTGAGGTGCTTTGGGTCCGTGCTTGTGGCAGCGGCCTCTCACCCACGCTGCAGCAGTGGCGTGAGGCGTTTGTAGCGGCGTTACAGTCGCGGTTCTTGCCGCTTGGATGGGATGTGCAGCATCTAGGGAGGATGTGGTCTGGGCTGGGGAGTTTTCGGTGTAAAGAGCGCAAAGGAGGTAGTATGCAAGTGGGGAGGGAGATGAGGGGGTGGAGTGTAGGGGAGAGGTTTTGAGGTACATGAAAACAGATTTTGACTTACAATCTGCAGAGGAGATGTGGGACGTTGGAGAGGGGGTAGAAGAGTGGAGTGAGCAGGGACAAAGAAATCTGGATGTTACTTCAGTACCGTATTAGCCCGGATAGAAGACCCCCTAGTAATAGAAGACCCTGGGTCTTAGAGCGTGTTCCTACCAGCCTCTTCCCAAGCAACCTCTTCCCAGACTCGCGTGCTACAGTGTCGCAAATTTTGACGCAAAATGTTTCAGTGGAATTTGGCGAAGTGCCAAGTGAGATTCGGCTTCCCGAGATTCAGGGGCGTGTTTTAAAACCTCTTTTCAGACGAGCAGATTTTCAAACAGGCGTGAATCTGCACAGTAGAATTTCAATGCCAGTTGGTTTTATGTGGTTGAGAGCGATGGAACGCAAATATGAAACGGGAGCATTCCGAAAAGTGATCATGGGAACACGCTCTCAAGGTCGCGCGTGAGTCTGGGAAGAGGTTGCCTGGGTAGAGGCTCGTAGGAACACGCTCTTATAGTAGGTGTCTATCTTGTATTATGGCATTCCGTTTATAAGACCCTCACTGGGCGGTATGAGATAAGACTCCCCCCCCCATTTTTTTAAAGATGTTATTCTAGTATGGCAAAATTCCATGCATTCAATCATCAATGCAGATAGGACAAGAGTAGTCTCTTAGAAATCCTCATGGGTCTCCATAGTACTAAAATCACAGCCCCCCTCCTCCGAATCTACTGGTCCTCCTGGGGGGTGCTTGATGTTATCTAGCACCCCCCAGGCATGCCTCGCAGTGCTCTCATGCTCTGTCAGCTTCTCGGCTTCTGCTGCTGCGCCACGGCACTTCTTAGTCTCTGGGTACGGATCCTCCTCTCCTGGCTCCGCCGCTTCACCCCCCTCCTCCTCCTCCTCTCCCTCCTCTCCCTCCTCTCCCTCCTCTCCCGCTTCCCCCTCCTCTGCCTCCTGCTCTTCCACGAAACCTGCATTGTCACCACTCGTCCCTTGCAGGGACATGTCTTCAGAGACGTTGAGAGCTGGCTCCCCACGCATGTGCTGGAGCACCAAGTAGTTGTCTGTACCATCCATGGAGCTTGAAATGCCGCATGTCTTGAATGCTCGCACGATGATGTCACGCGGCACATCGCGCCATGCTTGCTCAATTCACTTCAGTACCATGGGGTGGGGCGGGCGGCGCAGGTTTCCTGGAGTACGGATTTCATGGAGCACTAGCACAGGCATCAGTCACGGATTTGACAGGCAAGTGATTCAAGCGAGAAAATCAGGGAAGAAGCCAGAAATGCGGGCAAGGTGCATTCAAGGTCACAGGCGGCGTGCATTCAGGGATGCGAGCGGGGAGAAATCAGAACTGCTGGCGTACCTTTGGCCGTGCGTAGGTTGATGCCGTGCTTTGCAAACCACTTTGCATAGCATGCCCTCACCCCCGCTTTAAAACACCTGTTGATGGAAACATCAAGGGGTTGAATCAGCGGAGTGCGCCCAGCCGGAATGATGGCAGGGATGATGCAATGCGTCCAGTACGCGTGCTTCATCCCATCGGTGAGATGGCCACGGTACCAGTCCAGCACAAGCATGGCACGTCGCGCTGGCGCCCCACGCTTCGGGTTGAGAAAGGGGAGAACCTCTTTCTCCCGCCACTTCTTGACGGCTGCCTCATCCATCCAGCCGTTCTCCTGCGCCTGCACTTCGACCCCTGTAGAACGCACGCACAAGTCGGATTTATGTGAGTCAAACAGCAGGTCGTACGCTCACAGCATAGGAGGGTTCAGGAGTGCATGGTGAGCAAGACGTGGAAGGCTTACCCGATGGACATTCACATTTGGGTATGGTCTTGCGCTTGAACCATACCCACGGCCGGAGCTTGTCGCCGCTAGCCGTGCATGCTAGCATCACGGTTAAGCGTTGCTTCTCGTATCCAGTGGTCTTCACCGGCACCGAACGGGACCCCTTCTGCTCCAACGTCCGACCAGCTGGCATCTCCACGAAAAGAGGAGTTTGATCGGCATTGATTATGCGGCGTAAGTCCATCTGATGACGGGCACGGTTGATGCGAACGAACTTCCAAAACCCCTCACAGTCCACGGCGCATTCTGTGGTGGGCGGGAAGGGGCAGGGGCGGAGGGGCCTTAGCAAGCGCATAGACACAAGACAGAGGCACGTCCCTGCACAAGAGACGAATGCAGAGACAGTGAACAGAAGCTTTGCACAACAGACAGATTCAGAGACAGGGAACAAAGGCTCAGCACAGAGACAGACGCAGATACAGAGGCATACACTTACCCACAAGACACAAGAAGCTTACCTGGAGAGAGCTTTCGCCCAACCTTCGTTCGGCAGCGTAGTGTGAATCCCCACCGCTTGCGAAACCGTTGGCTCCATCGGTTCGACCCCTGCCACCTGGTACGCGGGTTGCGTCTGCGCATGTACTTTCGGCTCCATTCCCGAATGTCATTGACGCTGATCGCCAGGCCCCGACTCCGTTGCTCGCAGACGTACTTGGCGAGCGCCTCCTCCATCTCGGGGTGATGCGCGTGCCGGCCAGAACCATGCAGCCTCTTCCTGCACTTCGCAGCCCCCTTGTACTTTCCCTTCATATCTGCCTCCACCCAGCGACGGATGGAGCACTGTCCGACGCCCGCTTCTTGTGCCATCCGCATGAGTGACCCCAGCTCGTGATACCGCAGCGCCCACCGCGCCTTCTCGCCGACCGTGAAGCTGCATCCCTGCTTCTTGTTGGCTTTACTACGCGGCGAGGGTGGTTGCGCGTTGGGGTTCTTGGTCCTTGGATCACTGGGCTTCTTGCCTTCGGGGAACACGGGGATGGGGCCAGCCGCTTCCGCATAGGCGTCGTCGGAGTTCTCCTTGGCCATATCGCCTTCCGGATGGCTGGTGTTCCGCTTGGCGGACTTTCACGCGTTGTTGCCAGCGGCTCGCTTGCGTTTGCCAATGCCGTGCTCTTCCCGGGATTTTGCTTTCCCTTTCTCCTCCCTCGACAGCCGTCCACGCTTTGCTGGGGACTGTTTGGTCGGTTTCTTTCGCTTTGTTCCCCCGCGTTTGTCGTTGTCAGCACCGTCCTGCTGGCGCTTGCGACCGTGCACCTCGAAGAGAACACGGCGTTTCTGGATCGGCATATCCTCGTCGGACATGCCGCCCGCCTCATCGGTCGAGTCGTCGTTAGCGGCATCGCACTCGACGCGCTCCATCTTGTCAGCCATTCGCTTCGAACTCCGCAGCTTTCCCCCGCCACGACATCGCCTCGCCAACGCCGCTACTGCATCAAAGTCATCGTCGTCGTCAGCAGCGTCACCCGATTCGTCGCTCGTGTCGTCGGCAGCATCGTCAGCCTCGTCGTAGTCCGCATTGTTGCCTTCCTCACCGCTCGAATACTCGCCCGCATCGTCACCCTCCTAGTACGCGTTCTTGTCGGCCGCATCGTCGCCCACCCCGCATGCGTTCTCGTTGGCCGCGTCGTCACCCACCCCGCAGGCGTTCTCGTCGCCTGTAGCGACACCATCCCCTCCGCCAGCATCCTTCTACTTCATCGTCGGATCTGATGGGCCTTGCCCACCATTCGTCTTCGTCGTCACAGGCGTTGCATGCCGAGCCATCCGCGTCGGCGCCCCCATCGTCTGCATCGTTGTTAGAAGCCGTGAGGGGAGAATCACGGCGGGGTGAACGACTCGTAGAGACCTTTCGAACAGGCCGGACACTACCGTTGATGGTGTCGCCAGGGGAGTTAACTCCGCCAAAAATGTTGACGTACACCCTTGGTGGTGTACTACCTGCTGAAGGGCGCCGTCCGCCATGATTCTCCCTCCATGGCGGACGGTGCTTGCTACGCATCTCGCTAAGCCACAGATGGCTAAGGCACGGCAAGCAGAGGCACACCAGGCTGATGCATTTTTCGAGAAGGTGAGATGCAAATGAGCAGAAGAGGGGGTCCACCCACCTCCGATAACACTGCCACAATTCACTTTGTGGTTCCCCATAGAGGAATCTGTCCTCGCTCAGGACGCTTTGCTGACGCATCATGTGACAGCCCATCGTATCCGCTGGATTTGTGTGAGCTAACGCCAGATAAACGGTTGGGATGGTTGAAACGTGACGTCCAGTTGATGAGGGTTGCAGAATACCTGCCAACACACCCTCGTCCCTCACTTGCTGCATCTCGCACGTGTCCAACTGAGCCTAACTCTTATCGCCAACAAAATCGGCCCCTTAATGACATCTTCAATATGAGAACGGTTCACAGGCCTCCGGTGTAACTACTCCAGGTTTTTTCCGGTGAGGTTATGATGGTTCCGTTTATAAGACCCCCATATATGCTGTTTTTTCCCATTTATAAGACACTCTGGGCTTTTTTCTAACGGTATGTGATAAGACCGGGGCTAATACGGTAGTAGTTAATGTTAAATGCGAGAATGATTCACTAGTGTGAGAAACCTAGAACATATACCTGTTGGGATTGTACTCACTAGAAGCACACACCTAGACTAGCCTATAACTTCTACATAGAGCATATGTATAAGTTGACACACCCCCTAGGCTAGAGAAGGGGTGGTGCTAAGCAAGAAGCACACAGCTCAGGGTGGTACTACTAGTCCAATCAATGAGGCAGGGGTCTGAAGACCAGTCAGCAAGAGTACAAACAAGACCAAAGCAAGCAAGGGCCGCACTACTAGTCCAGCCACTGGAGGTAAGGCCACAAGGCCAATCAGATAGGTAAATATAGTAGAGAGTACACAATCAGGATCCTAACAAGTGAGTAGCTACAGGAACAAGACCAAGCTGTACATAGTGCCGCTTATGATCTTTAGGCGCAAGTGCCTTAGTAAAGATATCAGCTGTGTTGACAACGGAGGCCAAGTGAACTACGCGGGCCTAGCGACGCTGCTGTAGCTCGCGCAAGAGGAAGTACCGCAACTGAATATGCTTCGCTCTGCCCTCAAGTCGAGGCTCCTGACACAGGAGGATCATGGCCCTGTTGTCAGCGTACAGGACCAGTGCAGAGCTAGGCTGCTCACCTAAGTCTGTGAGCAAGAAGGTAAGCCAGCGCAGCTCCTGTGCCGCCATGGCACCGGCGTAGGTCTCAGCCTCACAGCTGGACTGAGCAACAGACGACGAGCGAGTGGATCTCCAAGAGATAGCACCCGAACCAAGGCTAAAACAGTAGCCCTGAGACGACCTGAGATTCTCAGAGTCGTCTGCCCAAGAAGCGTCTGTGTGCTCAGTGAGGACCACTGGCCTGCGTCCTCCAAGCACTAACCCCATGCCCGATGTACTTGCTAGATATTGCAAAACCCTCTTAGCGGCCGACCAGTGCTGTGGTCGGTGTCTGCCAGTGGCCACAAAGTGAGCCAGGATGCTGAGAGGGTATGCGAGATCTGGGCGAGTGCAAGTCATCAGGTACATGAGGCAACCCACCAGCTCTGCGTAGGGGCCACTGGGCTCTACTGACTCCTCATAAACGGGAGCGGACAGCCCATGGTTTACAGGTAGAGGTGTGGGCTGTGCGGAGGAGAACTGAAGACCGAACCTCTGAAGGACCTGACGCACCAAGTGTGTCTGTGTCAGAGTGATGGTGTGTGCTGCTCTGTCCCTGGAGATCTGCAGGCCAAGATAGCGACGCAGCTCTCCAAGGTCAGTGCAGGTGTGTCTCTTTAGCAGCTCGGCCTTCACGGAGGCCAGTGCGTCCCTGTCAACAATAGCGAATACCAGGTCGTCTACGTAGACAAGGATGTAGAACGCACAAAAAGCGAGGGGTCAGTAGATGACGGAAATAATTGCAGGTCTGCTAGCGTGGCACGCAACGTGTCGTGCCACTCACGTGGAGCTTGGCGCAGGCTGTAGACCGGGCGTCTGAGAAGCCACTGGGTCCCAGAAGGAAAGGTACTAGTGAAGCCCTGTGGTCGGTGCAGGTAGACCTGCTCATGTAGGCTGCCCTGAAGAAACGCAGTTGAGAAGCCGAGGGAGTGAAGCTCGTAGTCGCGCTGTGCTGCTATGTGTAGCAGCGCCCGAAGAGTAGTCATCTTTGGGGTCGGGGCGAAGGTCTGGAAGAAGTCCACCCCCTCGCGCTGGCTGAAGCCTCTTGCCACGTAGCGCACCTTGAAGGCAGGCGGCTCTCCAGGGGGGCGCTTCACCTTGAAGAGCCACCGACCATCGACTACGTTCACCCCAGGAGGGGGAACTGCGTCGACGTAAGTGCTGGTGGACCTCCAAGATGCCATCTCCTGCTCCATGGCAGCTATCCACTGAGAGGCCCAGGGTCCCGAGGTGGCTCAGCGTAGGTGCGAGGGGTCGGGATGTCGAAGGCGTCTGGGTCACCCTCTGGGACTGGGAGCACGGAGCAGAGATGGGCAGCGGCCCCGGAAAGGAAAGCAAGCTCGTGCTGCCTGTCCTCTGGAACGTCACTGCCAAGGGCAGGTGCACCCCTGACGGACGGAGGGCGGGCAGGGTCTGAGACCAGAGCG